TTATAAGAAATGCTGATTCTTTGCTACTTGTAATTAACTCATTTTGTCTTCAATTTTCTCATGTGAACCTTTGGGAAAGTAACAGATACTAAAGCTGTGTGGCTGAGTTCAAGTCTGTGTTTGAATGAGAACTCATGCATTTTTTTTTTTCCTCTGATTCCCCCTACTTCTGTAATAGAACATGCTCCAAAAATGTTTGAACGCTATGGATGTTGCTGTCCTGAGAAGCAGGAAGCCAATAATTGCAAATCAGTAGGTGTTATTGACTGTGCTTTGACCTGGAGAGCAGATGTGCAAGCTGGTATTGAAAAGCAGTGGAGAAGAGGCAGGCTCCAAGCCCAGCTCCCTCCTCCTTGGCCTTGTGTTAATGACACTGGGATGGGTGGGCCAGCAGAGATGCAATCCTCATCAGGACCGGTCTGCTCTTTGCTAAGAGGTTCTGCTCCAAACATGAAATCACATAAAGCTCAGGGGTGTTTATGTCTAGGATTGTTTTCAGGTTTGTGTCTGCTGTAGTTTTTAATTATTTTTTTTTTAATATTGCTTCTCTGTGTTCATTATTGTAAAAGCTCTGCTAGCAGCTGTGGTCTCTCTTGCAGTTCTTTTATCTTCAGCAGATAAATATAAATATGCGAGAGGCTGATACAGCAGCAGTTTTGCAGTATTTCAGGATTTTGGGAAGGAGAGGGAGAGCAGCCTGTGTAAAGCATGTTTTATAGTCAGGGTGTTAGGAACTAAATATTGGTACCATTCCCATCAAAATGCAACAGGTGACAACCTGTGTCCCCTGACACACCACATCTAGCTTCATATTTTCTGCCTGTGCTGTGTCATATTGCAAAAATAAATAAATAAATAAAAATACTTTTATTGGGATGTGCCTTCCTAGAAGGCACCTGGCCTTGATTCTTAAGATTTCCCATGGGGGAATTCCCGATATCCTTAGGTAAGCTGCTCCTGTGCTTTAATTTCTCTTGTGATAACTTCTGCAATGCTTTTACATCTGCAGACCACCCTCAGATTAAAGCAAGATGAGGAACGCTCTGTTTCCTGGTGTCTTTTGTGTGCCATCCCTATGGTCTGGGCAATGGGAGCTACCACGGGGCAAATATTTGCTTTACAAATTGGGTTAAACAGGATGGAGAGAGCGAAGTATTTTGTGCTCTAATTGGAGTAAATTATCAGATTATGCAAGTAAACCTGTGTGGGAGAGGTGACTTATCTGTTTGCCTTATCTTAATGCACGCTCAAAAATAGGAAGGCAATGATAAGGATGGCTCATGCAGGGAGGGAAAAAGCTGCAAGGGGCAGAAGTCAGAGGGCAAAGGGATGAAAGTGAAGCAATTTACAAGTGAACGTCCCAAACCTCAAGGATTTAACTCCATGTTCTGCTGGTTGGTGGTTGAGGGGGCTCAGAGCTGCATACTTTGGGGTAGGTGGGGCTGAGTGCTGGAGGTCACCCATCCCTGAAGGGCATGAGGCTCTGTGCTCCAAAATAGTTAAAATTCTCTTCAAATTAAGTTATTTTTTTAAGGGTATTTCATATCTGGCAAGTTAATTGTCATGGTCTCATCATTCTGAAAATACAGGCCTGGGTTTCCTTTCCTATAATAGCATCAAAGACAGCAGAAAACGTGTTACCTTTCCCGTGCAGTTCTCCTTGGTGATGTTATCTGTTCCAAAGATACTTTTATTTCACTGGATATTAATGAGTCTTGAGAGGGAATGCAAAAATAGAAGCTGGTAGAGAGACTCGTGAGCTGATTGCAGGAGCTGTGTTTGATCAGCCAGGACGGCGTTCTTTCTGCTTTGCTGGTAAAGGACAAATATTTTGGGGCAAACATACCGAGTGTGGCTAGGGAGTAAAATTAGGAACTATTCTGGTTATTCTCTTTTGATAAAGGTCTGTGACTTCTGCAGCAGTTGTGTGGTCTTTATGCTTATATGGGGGCAGTTTGGGGGGATTTGGGTGGGATGAGGGCCTCTGCCTGCATCCTGCTGGATGCGTCCCTAGCAGGGTGCTGAGGGAGTGAAGGGATGGAGCTGGAGAAGGCGAAATATTTTTAAGCCATAGGTTCCCTCTTCATGCATTTTTCACACCAGACAGGTGTTTACCAGACATAAGCTGTTTCCCGTCACTGCTCCTCTCCCCACCAATTTTGGGGGAATGTTTTAGCAGTTAATTACTATTTTTTCCCCCCCAACTCATGTGGAATGCCACATTGCTTTCGGAGTAAACTGACGTGGAGCTGCAGCTGTATTTACCTTCGCTGGCTGCTTACAGTAATCCTTCACCTAGCTGTAGGTGGAACTGAGCTAAACGTGGGGCTGCTGCTTCGCAGAGCTCCAAGTGCTGCATCCTTTGTAAGCCTAAAAGTGTCTTTGGCACGTCGTGATGGCGAGCAGGCTCTGTGGGTTTCAAGTGTCTCTGGTGAGACAGTCTGAGCTGTAATGCACACAACTACCAGCCTTGATGAGCACTTTTGTCACAAAACTTAGTGTGCAGCTGAAGGGGAAACAAAAAAATAGCAGTCTATTGAAATGGAGGTGGCTGTGGAAGGTGGTGACCTCTTTGGAGAAGACCAAGCTGTGCTGGATGCATCTTCCCAGCCAGATGTCTGTGCTCTGGTACAAACCTTGGTGGCTCTGTCTTCCCCTTCATCTTTTTTTTTCCTTTCCCTTTTGCAGCTGCAGCATGCTCTGCTGCAAAACAGAATCATCTCAGCAAGAGAAATCAAACATTTCTCCTGCTACAAGGCTGGCTAGTTCCCTGAAACTGTTAAACTCTGGCTTGCAGCATGAACTAGTGTTGGGATAGGAAACAAAGGACTCCTCTACCTGGGCTGCAGCCAAGGCAGCCCTTCCTCTTACTGGTGTCACGCCTGCCCCCAGCACTGGTCAGTGCCTTCTGTGTGTCCCAGTGACTCCCAGTACTGGCCAGTTCTCCGGGGACCTGCTGCCTTTCAGCTGGCCATTTGGTCCCACTGCAGGCTGAAAATACCCAATTAAATTGGGTGCTGCTGCCATACTGTGTTCGTGCCCTCCTGAGGGATACAGGTACTACTTCTGGGTACTTCTACAGGAAAAAAAGAATAAAAATCCATCTCTGAAGTAACTCCCATTAAACTTTGAACTAGAAATAGATACGGCTGGGTGGAGCCCAGAGAGCTCTTCACCCTCATAGGAGCTTTTGAATATTTGAGGATTGTAAAAGAAGTGGACTCCTCGGGCACAGAAGTTATGCTGTAACCAGCACTTTCATATAACCACCATCCGCAGGTTAATCCTCCTCTCCCAACGCACACCTACTCCTGCAAGCTGTTCGTTTACACCGGTTGCCTCTTTGCTAATAAGCTTTGAAAAGCAAGTTCGTTAGTGCGGTGGCTGCCAGGCTGTGCTTTAATGAGCCTTTCTCAATGCCTCCTATCTTATCTTGAGCACGATAAGTACAAAACGTTCCCCTGACATTGCTATAAATCACATTTTATTGATGCATCTCAATACGGGCTGGCTGCTGCAGTTTGGTGTCTGTTTGCCTTGGAAGCAGCAGTGCTGTACAAATACAGCTCGGTGAGGCTCTCTGGTGACACGGGGAAAGATTTTTCTTGAGGTGCTCGGAGGCTTTAGCATGCAGTCGGAAGAGGAGGACGTTGCCAGCTGCCTTCCACATCAATCGTTTCTGGAAGGGTGCGAGGTTATTGCTAATTCCAGGCATTAATTTTGTGTGAAGTGAGGACTTCCTCCCCTCATCCTGCACTAGGCAAAAACTCCTGGGCTGCCTGCAACAGGTAGGCCTGTGATTCAGCCTGCCCGTGGCTAAGTTAGGCATTTCTGCTCTGCTTTGCTAGCACACTAAAGCATTTAAGATGAAGGCAGAAGCCGAGGAGGCACACACAACGAATAAACCATGCTGCTCAAAGCCAGTGCTTAATGTGAACTCAGCTCAGAGTGAGGAACCCATAGGCACAGGCAACCTGTGTTGGGGTTGTTTGTTCCCCCTGGGGTTTCCAGCAGCCCCAGGCACTGCCTGGGACTCACAGCCGAGCATCACCCTGTGGTTGTGCCTCCTGCCCTGCTTTGCGCAGGGAGCTGGAAGCCACCTGCAGAAAAAACCTGATTTAGCTGCTTTTTCCAGAGTAAATATCCCTTTTCTGCCGGTATTCTGGGATAAGAGAGTAAGCTCCTCTAATTAACCCTGTAAGCACGATTTGAAATATCTCCGTGTCTTCTGCATCTGCAAAAGACAAACACCTCATGCTTCCTACATCCCCAGCCAGGGTGGGGAAACAAACCATGCCTTTAACCCCTGGTGATGGATGATGATGCTCAGTGAGAGTTCCCCATTTTTTATGGGCAGCATCTGCTGGAGAAACACCTGTGTGCGTGCCACCGAGGTGTCCCGAGCTGGGTGTGAGTGGGTTTGCTTTCAGCAGCGTCAGTCCCGGCTGTGCTGGAGGTTTTTTGTTCCAGCACTTTCAGCTGATGCTCAGTGTTATTCACGCTGCTGTTTGTCTACTTGTAAAACAGGCCAGCCGGCCTTTCAGCCCTTCCCCAGCAGGCTTTTTATTTCCAGTTGATGCAAATTTCTAATGGCTATCAGGAAGTTGACTTTGGGGAAGTTTATTGTTTTAGGATTTAAACAGTAAATCATTTCAGTTTTCATTCAGCATAGCTGTGAACATTTGCCTGTACTTGCAGGTGAGAGTGTCTTTGAAGTCATGCTTCAATACTAACATAAAAAAAAAGTGTAAAAACTGTCTATAGTTTTGCATTTTGATGCTTCTGCTGTATTTGAGATGGAAAATATTTTTTTAAAAACTTTTCTATTTTCTTTGGAAAAGGTAAGCCCACGCCTGGGTTCAGAAGCCAGCCCTTCCACCACCCCTACAAACACAAGAGCTGCAAGTTGCATCATCTGCAGCACATCCAACAATCCCTTTTCCAGACCTGCTTCGTCATCCACCTGGAAGGTTCCACATTTATTTTTTCCATCCGTGTTCTTGCTTTTTTCTTTTTTTTTTTGCTCTTGGTGCAGGTAAACAAGGAAGCGCATCGGTCTGTTATAACTGCACGCACGGCTGTTTGTACGCCCCAGACAGGTGTTTGCTCAACTGTGTTGTGCAATAAGTGATGTGTGTGACAATAGCCTACAGAAACAGTGCTGTAAGTTGAGTGTTGACAATTTCTTTTAAGAAAATGTTTCCCTCTTCCCTGAAATATGTCTGGCTATACTATACCTGGCTATTTCCTGCTCACAAATGAGGACAGACCTCAGCTCACTGTATGAGACACATTTGCAACAGAAAGCAAGATGGAACAACCCAGGGAATTTTATTTTTCTGCTTCCTGACCAGCCCAGAGCCTTTATTTGACTGATTTTTCTGGTCCAACAACATGTAATCAACAGAGACAGCAACTTTAAATGTCTGTTTTAATGGAGCTGTAATTGTGCAGGTGCTCAGCAGCGCTAATTCCACAGCTTGCAGGGTGGAAGAGGGCAGCTGCTACCCTGTGCTGAAGAAAAATGATGAAACCTGGGTATAACCACGTCTAACTGGGTATAACGGGGTGCCTTATGCAAGGACGGAGGAATTTGCAGTGGGACATTGCCAGGTTTATGGTTTGGTGTGTCTGCGTGTGCTTCCTCCTGCAGCTCCTGTACTGGGCTTTGTTGTAGGAATTGATGGCTGTTAACCCAAGGAAATGCCATCGACCTGGAACCTCAGCAGCCACAGAGGGTTTTGAAGAATGCACATCCCACGGAGGTGTTTGCACGTGGGTCCTCTTGCAAATCCAATCGTTTAAAGATCTTACAGCTCAGGGGACCAGGCCTACCTCCAGCTCTCCCACTGGTTTGATATATAACTTCTGGCAGAGCTGAGGTGACTTGTTCCTTTGTTTCTTGCCCCAGGTTTTTGCATATTTATTCCCTGACTTAAGGTAGACCCTCCTCGTTCGTGCTGATAACATGCCTGGCACGGCAGGGCCTGAAGCTCAGGAGGCCCTCTAGAGAGGTAAAGCAATGCAAACAGCAACTCCAATCAACGATATTGCTAACTGCTGCTGTTTTAGCAGTTCTGAGTGGATTAAGTGGTATTAGCTACAGATCCGTAAAATTATTTTTGAGGAAAGAAAAGAAGTGAATTGGGAAATCACAAGTCTGCAGTTCTTGAAGGAAATGGCCTCTCAACCCTGTGTTTCTCTTTATTTTCCCAGAAAAGTTCACCAACTTTGCCCTAACCTCGTCCCCCTTCACCCCCTGCGACGGGGTAGTCCAGGGGTTGGTTTGTGTCCCCGTTCCCCACCTCCCCCGAAAATTAGGAGCTCTTGTTCCTGCTAAATAAATAAATAAAGCCCGAGCGAGCAGACAGAATGTACGAGACCCTGTTTTGCCTCCCCGAGCTGAAGTTAAAAATTATTCAATGTAAAATTCCTGGCCTGTGAAACAGAGGCTCCGTACTGTACCAGGCAAAGATTTTCACCAGCATTCTCTTGCTTAGCCAAGGCGGAGATAACAGGCACTGCAAAGCACCGGGAATAAATCTGCTCCTCCGAGAGCCCGCCGGGGTGTTCATCTCCCACCTTGTTTTTCCTTTGCTTAATAAGGGACGGTGTGAACTTAGAGTTGAGATTTGACCTGACTTTTTTTTTTCTTAATGTGACCCAGGATGAATGAAGTTTGATTTATTTTTTTTTTTTTTTGTCATTTAAATGACAAGAGCAACAGGAGAGAGCAAGTAAGTGATAGACTTTTTTTATCAACTTTTCTCAAGGGATTATTATAATTGTGCTTTGCAGTCTTCTGAGGGAGTTTGGAAAGTGGGTTAGGAACAAAAGGGTAAAAATGACTGAACTTTCAGGCACTGGGGTCGACTGAGATGACGCTGAATGGCAGCAGTGCCTCCGGTCCAAGGTGACTTCTGGAGGCTGTGATTAGTAGCGGGGTGATTCTTGTTGCTGACCTTTGTGTGTTCAAAGATCCAGCTGCAAGGTACTTCCTAGCTTTCTGATCACTTCTGAAAATGCTCAGACACGGATACGGTTGCTTGAGAAACAGGAGAGAAATTACCAGTGCAATAAAAAAAGGCTTATTTTCTAACTTTTTTTTTAATACATGGGGGTCTGCAGTGATTGATTGTAGCCGCATCTGGGCTGTTTACTTGGTGAGGTGAACTTCCAGTGCTGGCTTATTGCTGTGGTCATCGGCCACCCTGTGAAATCTGCCTCCTGTCCAGGGGGATCCGGGACCTGTTGCACCAGTGCTAGCAGCAGAGCGGGGACATTTCCATTGCTGGGCAGTTCTGGTGCAAAGACAGATGCAGAGAATCTTTTGGCAAAGCAAGTCTGATAGAGAATTTGTCTTCTGATGAATGTTCAGTGAAGAACAAGGCTGTATGGAGGGGTACTGTTTTTAGACGAATAATAAAATGCATGCAAAGGTTAAGCTGTAGGAGTATTTCCAGCCTGCTGTCTGAAAGCTAAATAACTAGATACACTTCTCATAATTTTTGGAAGCTTTCATATGTCTATGAATTTCCTTCCCCTATGGACTGTTGGACATTATTCTTTTATAGAAAGGAAAGAAAATCTGAGCAAAACTAGATGCTGTGAGTTACAAATTCAGATTAATACTATAGCAGAGTGCAGGAGACAAATATGTGATTAGGCTTAAAATGAGACTACTAAAAGGAACATAGCAAGAATAATTTGCAGCCCCTGCTGACATGGTGCCAAGCATTCAGGGTGACTGGAAAAAAACAAAGGAAGCCCTAAGGTCACCTCCAGGCAGCCTGGAGAATGCTGTAGGAGCAGCTGCCACCCATTTCAGCGGGGAATCTTCAGGCAAACAAGTGTCTGTCCCCTCTGTTTTGGGATCTGTGCACATGTGTAAAAATTGTATGGACTTTTCTGGGATTTATTGAAAAGGCTGAGAGCACCCTTCTTATTGCGGTGCCTTTTTTATCCTGCATTTATCCTGCAAAGGAAGACATAAAAATGGTGTGCAGGACTTGCAGGGTTTTCCTCATTTTCATTCTTTCCTAATGCTCCTGTGCTGCTGCTTCCTAATTCCTAGCATCATTGGTAGGCAGCCTGTGCCCCAAGCTGCCCTCGAGCGTGGTGACCTTTTTCTCAGTGCCACGGCCTTCAGCTGAACTGGGGTGGCAGAGATGAAAGTCACACATCAGGGGCTGCGCTGTGACACCGGGCACCTTTGGATGTCTGGGGCCAGAGCCAGATGCAGGGGATAAAGCTTCGCTTTGCCCTAATGAGGTTATCACCTCTCGAGATAAAATCACCCCCTAGGATTCTAGGCTATATGTAAATGTGTGTGTGTATGTTTATGGATGTGTGCGTATAGCAGCCTGGGCTGTATGTAATTAAAATTTCCTAAAAGCACATAGAGGGCAACAGGAAATCTCTTATCGGCCTCCCTGGAATTTGGATCAGGATTTTGATGAATATCTATCTCTCTTCTAACAAAAAAAAGCTTTTTTTTTTTTTTTTTGGCTCAGGCAAAGAGGATGATTTCTGCTAATGATTTATGGAGCAGAGACAGGTAAAATGAGAACACATTTCAAAAGAATGGCAAGATGTTTTCTTGGGAGAAATCACACTTCAGTAGCTTTCCGACCTCGCTGAGCAGCTGCTGGGGAGTGCACGGGGGGCTCCTTTTCCCTTCCTGTTGGACTGGCACAGGACCTGAATTCAGGCAGTTAAACACAGCCTGAAACAGCGCTGATAATATTAAGTGTCGTTCCCTGTGATGGAATCCCAGTGCTATAAACCCAGAAGCAACAGGAAACAGATGTGTCTGGGGAGCAGAATTTGGGATACTTGAATATAAACTGACTGCTGGCAGTGTGTGCCTTGTGGGCTGTGTGTCTCCAGGTCTGCCGACACAGGCAGGGATTTATTGCTCCTCTCCACGTTCAGGTGAGCATGCTGCCTTGTCCACAGGGATCCTTGCTGCGATATGATCTACATCACAATATTGCATATTCTGCGAAGGCGCCGTGAGGCTCGGTGGTTTTGGATATGCCTGTGTGGCTCAGAATGGGATCTGTGCTCTGCTATCTTAGAAACTGCCTCACAGCAGCATATAACAAGATGATTTGGTATACTGATTGAAGAAGAACAGCAGAATTAACGTATGCTGACAGGGACTGGAACCACAGCACTGCCTCCTGCATCAACGCTCGTACAAAAATAGAAAATCTTGTTATTCCTGGTGTAATTGTACCCAACCTGAGCGTAACGTAGCCTCACTTAGCCCCCACGGAGTTCACTAACAGCCTTTCCACGGACTTTGGGCCCCAATCTGGGTGCTCGATGGATGCCTAAAAGCAACCAAAAGTAGGGCTTGAGGGGAAACGAGAAGCTCGGATGGAGCATAAAGCATTGGTGAGCCTTTGTAGGGTCGCCTCTTAGGGCTAATGCTTTCTGCCAGAATTCAGGAAGGGAAACCAGTTTTCCTGATAGCTAATCCTACTGGGCAAGCAAAATGCCAGCTGTTAGTGGCAAGCCAAGGAGCAGTGGGAGAGATTTGACCTGCTACAAAACATCCTGACCTGTCCTTGTGCTGCGGTGGCAGGGCACGCAGACACATCCCTGCCGCTCGTCCTGCAGGGGTTAAAGAAACTGGGCAGGAAACTGCCTTAAAAACCTCCTCTGCTGTCTGTCAGGCATTCCTCCACCCTGGTTGATAACTCACTGGTGTCTTTGCTATTTCCAGTGGGCAGCCAATAGCCGGGGTGTGCGTGTGTGCTGTGAGTCAGCAGCCTCAGTGCGAAACCTGACCCTGGCCTCCTGCCTCTGCCCTGCTGCTTTCCCTGTTTGCAACCCGGAGAGTTTCCCCAGTTGTACCTAAAGCAGGTGGAATAGTTGTAACTTTGATTTTTGGCCAATGCAAATCCATGTACAAAGCCCTTCTGCTTATTTCTTGTAACTGCTACCCATTAAAGCCACTACCAGCACTATGCCTTCCCAAGGAAAATGTTCCTAAGCATTCTCTCCTATGCCTGGATCGTATTTTGGATACTAATTTGGGGAAACACCACCCAGCAGGTAGAAACGAGGCTTCAGAACAGAGGGACCATGCTTGGAAAGAATGTATGTGATTATTTTAAACTGATAGTGGCCTCTTCCAGGTAACATAACTGTGACCGATGCTCTGTGAAAAGAGAAGGGAATAGAAGTTATGAAAGATTAACACTGAAACTCTCCATCAGTTTAATCTAACCATTTAAAATAATAATTAAATAAAAAATACCTAATAATAATAATAAAAAAAAAGAGAATGAAAGTGGATGCCCAGAAAGAAAAGCATATTAGAAGTTCCCCTATGGAGCACTTTTATCCACTTAGAAGTGCCAATTTTGCAAAGTACTGCAACAGCATACGAAATGACTCTGGTCTGCACCCTGGTAATTAAAAGCAAATAGTCTTTGGTTTTATAAGCTCAAAGTAATACAGTAAGGAATGAGATGTAAGGGCATTTTTGCTTCTTAGATGTGGTTAGATATAATAGGATGGTGTTTGCACTTAGGAATAAAATCCACATCCTTCCCTATCTATGAGCACCTGTCTGACAGTGTATTATCTGCTTTTTTTTTTTCTTCCAAAATCTCATCAGCCTTTTAAAGGAATTTTGTATTTGAAACACCAACAAATAAGTTCATCGTTTCATGTTCCATCCTTGAAAGATAAGGACGCTGCAAAGGACAAGAATGATAAAAGCTGTAATATAAGGGGCAAGCCTGGAGCATATATAGGGGCTGCCCATTAATGTAAGACCTGGGATGCAGAAAATTATAAATAGTATGCATGTTGTATGCTTTCTGTTTCACAGGACAGTATTATGAAGCTAAGTGTGTCTATATATTTTATTTTTTTTTTGGAATTAAGTTTGCAAGCACTGCCAGTTGGGCCTAACTTCCTTTTCCCATAAATTGTTGGTGGCATTGGAGGTTTTAAGTTCTCAGTTTTGTATCTATTGATCTGACCTTCGAGCAACCTGCCTGTGACAAGTGCTCTGTCGATGTGATAGCTCCTTACAGTAAATTGTTCCTGGTTTTCAAGCCGTGTGGATTGAGGGGTGCTCTGTTTTCTGGAGAGGGACGATCAGAGCCAGAAGTGGGGCTGTGGGAATCGCTGATCTCTGATGATTCATGGCAGGGGTGTGCAATTGGGAGCATTAGCTCACCTGAATTCTTCTTCCTGGTGGCACAGACCTGTCTGAGGTTACTGCATCGAGGTGGCTCTTGCATCACCCGGGTGGGACTCACCCTCCTGACAGATTGCAGTGACTCGCCTGCGCTCTGCAGTGTTTGCGTTTAGGGAACTGCACAAATAAATGGTCTAAAGGCATCTTTTCCCCACCTTGGTGCTTGTTTTTAGGTTTGGACCTAGCAGCAGGACTGGGTTATGCAAGGACTTCATCGTGTAATTGCTCCTTCTCTACCTTTGGGATTGCTTTTTGGTGCAGCTTTTTGTGGAAGGAGCGAAAACACCTTAAGGAAAATACACCGTAGGTTTGTTACAACATCTGATGGTGTTGAAAAGCCCCCAGACAGCTGCTTTGTCTCTTGTCAGACTGTTTTGAACCAGGTGTGTTTGTTAGTTTAAAAAAAAAAAAAAAACAACACACCTAAAGTTCAATTTAGTAAGGTAGTAGAAGCACTTTGATTCCTTGCAGCCCATGATGATAATAGGGATGATCTCTTTGTCCTTTCTCATC